GGCCCCAAGTTGCCACTGGGAAAGGGAAAAACCAGAAGTAAATCCTAACTCTGGCACGTGTTCGTCAATGTAGGACGAAAGATGTCGCATGGGAAATGGACATCCAGAATATATTCCTAACTCTGCCACTAGTTTCTCAATGTAAGACCAAAGTTACGGCATAGAAACAAAGCAACCAGAAGTGGATCCTAACTCTAGCAATTATTTGTCAATGTGGGCCCAAAAGGCCACATGACAACCGAACAATCATAAGTTGGTCCTAACCCTGGCACTTCTTTTTTCAGTGTATACCCAAAGCTGACAGATGAAAACCGAAACAAACAGGAGAAAAACTAACTCTGGCACTTGTTTGTCAATGCAGGCCCAAAGCTGCCACATGAAAACTGAACAACCAGAAGTGAAGCCTAACTCTGGCGCTTGCTTGCCAATGAACGCCCAAAGTTGCCACAGGGAAACTGAAAAACCAGAATTAAATTCTAACTCTGCCACTAGTTTGTCAATGTAGGCTCAAAGTTGCCGCAGGGAAAGTGAAAAACCAGAAATAAATCCTAACTCTGCCACTAGTTTAGCATAGGAGGACCAAAGGGGCCACATGAAAACCGCAACCAGAAGTAGACCCTAAATGTGGCACTTGTTTGTCTGTGTGGGCCCAAAGTTGCGACGTTACAACTGAACAACCATAAGGTAATCCTAACTCTGGCACTTCGTTTTCAGTGTATGCCCAAAGCTGACATATGAAAACCAAAGAAGCAGGAGTGAATCCTAACTGTGGCACTTGTTTGTCAACGCAGGCCCAAAGTTTCCACGTGAAAACCGAACAACTAGATGTGAAGCATAATTCTGGCACTTCCTTACCAATGAACACCAAAAGTTACCGCATAAAACCGAGCAACCAGAAGTGGAGCCCAAGAGTAGCACTTTTTCGCCAGTGTGGACCCAAAGTTAGCACATGAGCATCGAACAACCAGAAGTCAAGCCTAAATCTGGCACTTGTTTGGCAATGTAGGCCCAACGTTTCCACTTAAAAATCGAACCACCAGACTTGTACCCTAACTCTGTCACTTTTTGACAATGAAGGCCCAAAGTTGTTTTTTGAAAACCAAACCAGAAGTGAAACCTAACCCTCGCGCTTGTTTAGCCATTTAGGCTCGAATATGCCAGATGACGGTGCATCTACAAGCAGTGAAGCCGAACTTTGACCCCTATCCCGAAAACCCGATATAACCTTTCGCTTTCTCTATTGTGGAACTGAAAATCGTATTGGATTCTATCTGAATTCACATTTTCAAAATTTATTCCTTTGTGTGCAATCTGATTTTCTGGTTCACAGTAACAATTACAGTTAGATTTCTTGTTCCATAGTCAAGATTGCTAAGAGTTTTATTTTGCTTTGGTTTAGGGATTGTTAAGCAAGTTAGGGTCAAGGTGCCCAGACTCTGTCCAAAAAATGGTCATGTTTCGCACTAGCTTGACTTCTTTATTTTTAAGGCGATAATTTCTATAAAAAGATTGTAAACGCTTACCCTGCCCGTAAGGTGAAAAAAGGCCACAGGTGAGGTGTGACGTCGGAGCTGCTAAGGTGTCGTTTCGTAGCAGATAAACTCAATGAACGGTAAAGGTGCGAGCGCGCACCATAGAGTCCGTATAAGAGTTTGGTATTAAACTGAGTAACTAACCGGACGAAAAGTTTATAGTGTTTTGGAACCAATGAGGGTGGATTAAGTAGACAGCATTTCAGCTGTTTGCGTAAGAGGAAAGTGTGTTTTATACCTCACTTCAGCAAAAATAACCATACGTGCTAAACGAAAATCTCCAAAGAAACAAGGTCAAGGAAGCACACAAAACGAAGTCACTCTCAACTTAAGGGTTACTGAAACGAAGGCATGCATTTATTAACATATTTCTGGCTATTCATTTAGAAAATAAAATTTTGTATCGGTCAGGTGCAGTTACTGAGCACTAACGCACTTGCTTTCCCGTGCCGTCCAGTACAAAATGCGTCGTAAAATTCTAAGGCAGCTTTATCTGCGTATCTCCAAAACTTGTTGCGAGTCACTTGGGCCCCTATCCCAGTGCGCTGTCAAATCTTTCGGCAGAACTGTTTTGCTGGCCGATTATGTTATCGAGCTTCTATGCATGACCATGCATGTTATCTTAATTGTCATTTTGTTATCGACGGCCCGTGCAAGGTTTTGTAGTAGTGCCGAAAATGCCTCGCGTTTATATGGAGCGCGGTCGACGGCGCGAAACTGCGAAGTGTTGCTCTAGCAGCTATTGCTGTAAAACAACCTAGAATGGAAAGATGGAAAGTTGGGCTAGTTGGTATGAGTCCATATGAAAAAGAACAGCCTCAAATAACACAAGGACAAGGAGGAGAGAACACACAGGGCGAGACGCTGACTATCGACTATCTATTCAGAAGACACACAGAGAAATTCACGCGAGGTCGGTTTCTTTTTTTTTCCTCTTCCACCAGTCATTCGCCGTTAAGCGGGCAAGATTATAAATCATATCAAATTAAAACACACCAGCACATTAAAGCACACCAGCACAGGTATAAGTCATCGAGTCCCCTTTCTTCTTTCTTCGATCTTCAATCTCGATCTTCAATTCTCTGGTTAAACCCATGTCCAAAAATCTATCTCATTGTCCACTAGGCTAATGGATGGTTGGCTCGCGCACCCGGGGTTTCGTTTTCCTAGATGGTAAACTTCTACTAACTCCCTCGATAGTTGATTTTTGTGGGTAAATAGCACGTTTGTGTCAATAAATCTTGGCTCACATCCACTATCACGGCAGTGGACAGCTAAATGGTAGTACGCGCTACCTTTTAATGAGCTATGGTGTTCGCGTAGACGATTGTTGAGGCAACGTCCGTCTTACCTATATATGAGTGACCGCATGACAAAGGTATTTCATAAACGGTCCCCTGTGCACCGGACACGAACTTTATGCCATGCTTGACGCGACATCGAAAAACTTCTGGCTTACTTTTCCTGCCAGTACGCTTATTAACTACGTTTATAATCCTGCTCAGTTTGTTACGCGCTGAAAAAATTACGTTGACCCCGTATTTGATCCGAGTCCTTTTAACCCGTGTGAAAGACGATGGATATAAGAAATAACGGCGACGTTCTCCTTATCTATCTTGGCTTTTTCTTTTTGAGGTTTTCTGAAATCAATCTTGATGTACCGAATCACCTTATCACAATCTGAAGTAATAACTGAGTCAGAAAAATTAGTCTCTGAGTCCAGCGACTTGTGCTGAGAAGCTTTCTTTCATCTTATGAACACAGTTTTTTGTCAACGCTGACAGTAAGCAAGAATACGCAGCACCATTCACGAGCTTTGAGTGTGCCGAACGATAGTCTAGTAATTTCTTCGTGAATCTGGAGTGGTGCATCCAGAATACATAATCTTCTTTCACGTCAACTAGGATAACTAAAAACTGGATTTTGTACTCTTAGGAGTCTCGGAGTTGAAGCGAAGTCCTAACCCCTCCTCCGCGAACGTCCTCAACACTTCACTCATTGTTCTATTAAAATCTTGTTTTCTAGGAAAACCAAGTAATCATCAACATATGCAGCAACGTTTTGTGTTTTTCGCCAGCCTGTGCTCAAGGGCCCTATCAACTTTACCTAGACAAATACTGCTCAGCATAGGAGCCACTCTTGAACCTAAACATACACCTGACTTTTCTACATATACGTTAACCTGCCAATCGATAAACGTGGATTTTAGATACATAGACAAAAGCTCAAGGAACCCTTCTACTAAGACTGCAGCTTTGGTCCTAAACCTCATTTCATCGTTGCATTCAAAAATACATTCTTTTACGGTCTTCATGAGCTCATGATGGGGCATAAAGTGGTATCACTGTTCCACATCTATGCTAAATGCGCTACATCCTTCTGGATTGTTGTCTTTTAAGAATTTTATAACATACATTGGGTTTGAAATCTTAAAAGGTTCATCAATCTGCTGTGAGTTGAGGTGGGCTTGCTGATATCCTGAAACTGCCCTGAGCCAGGAATCTCGCTCCGACACTACTGTGCGAAATGGTATTTCTGGTTTATGCGTCTTTGCGATAAAGATACCTCTAACATAAGGTTTTTCTCTTTCTTGGCTTCAGCTAAGACCCTTCCGAGGTTTAAGCTACTTAGAAGCTTCAAGGCTCGACCTTTGCTGGCTGTTCCGTGACCTGCCTAAAATTCTTTTGTACAGCTGCGTTAGCCTTCTGATCAAAATTACCTTCCGGCAGAATAACAAAAAAACCCTCTCTGTTGGACAACAGAATACGCAACCCATTACTTGTCAGATAGCCGATAACCGGCTCCAAATTTCTGATTCTAGGAGGCTTCCCTTCGTTTTTTGACAAAATCCCCACGCACTCCCCGATGCATCTAGGCCTTTTTTCCTCCGCGACCCGCCGTGACACTGACCGTGATCAAACCAGCTTCTCTATCCGGTCCAACCCCGGCTCAAAGCAAAACTGCGGTACTTTTTGTTTTTAAACCAGTTTCTCTACCCGGTTCAACCCCTCGCGTGAATTTCTCTGTATGTCTTCTGAATAGATAGTTGATAGTCAACGCCTCGTCTTGTTATTCGCGCTGTTTTTCAATACGCAAAACCAAATTGTGGCCCAAGGACTCGTGCTACCTGGAATTTTCTACTGGGCCGTGAAACGTGTTCTGAGAATACACGTACCCCCTTTCGCGGAATAGTAGACGCCGTGCATCTGTGCACAACCCAGTGACTCGGCATCTTTCGCATGCGTGATGAGCGGTGGAATAGCTCATAGTGGCGCCAGAAAGAAGTTCCCAACACTGTTGACGAAAATATTCCCTTCTCCAGGGACGAAAATAATCCCTTCTCCAGGGATTAAAATAATCCCTTCTCCAGGGATTATTTTCGTCATTCTTGTCCAGCTCGCTTGCACCTTTGCATTTAATTGCGTTATAATCCTAACACTGTGTTTGTTTTCTTATTCTGGTGCGCAGGTGCTGACCAAGGACTCTGTGACGGTGTCGGTGGATGCGGTCGTGTACTACCGGGTGCACAATGCGGCGGTGTCCGTGGCCAACGTGGAGAATGCTCACCACAGCACCCGGCTGCTCGCACAGACCACGCTGCGAAACATTCTGGGCACCCGCAACCTGCACGAGATTCTCGCCGACAGGGAGCAGATCTCAAGCTCCATGCAGGTATGTGCCGAAAATTATGATGCATCGACACGGCAGTGCTGAACTTTTTGGCCTCACCTACAAGAGGCCAACGCGTGGCTAAGGTTAAACGCGAGTGCTTGTCAGCGTTTGCCTGAAACTCGTGTTCTCATTAAACACGATTTACTGCCAAACGCTGACGCAGCAATCTTGTGCAATTTGCGTTGGTGTCTTGTCGGTGACGACAAAAAATCAACACCAACACCCTTGTATCTAGGACCTGTTACTACTGAACGTACTCTTTGTGAAGTGGACGCGCCTGGATACTTCTGACCATATTCAAGCAGATTAACTATCCGATAATATTAACCCTGTAGGCTCTAATTTACAGCTAGCTAAATATTTCACCGACACGATATGCTTTTGCTAGACTCAATAGGCCTACGTGAATTTCGTGCCACGTGTTCCAAGGAAATGCATCCCCCACATACACCTCATCATCCTAGAGAACAGAGTATTTATTAGTGTAACAACAGTTATTACATTTTTTATTAGATATTTTTGCATTGTTTTGTCAGCAAGTTTCCAAAGTTGCGACAGGAAAAAAAGGCAGTGTATCGAAAAATTCAGTTAGGATGTAGTTTAATTATGCAAACCTCGTGTAAGGATGTTACCCCATAGTAGGTACCCATTATGAAAAAACCAGCTGAACTAAGGAAAAGGTAGAGATAGAAAGAAAGACACCCACCAGCGATCGGGTGTCTTTCTTTCTATCTCTACCTTTTCCTTAGTTCAGCTGGTTTTTTTCATAATGAGTAACCAACTAGCTCAGATTACACCAGTAGGTACCCAGTTTGGCAGTTTTACGGTAGTGTAGGCATAGCAATGTTGGTGTGAGATGTTTATATAGAATGACGTTAATGAAATACTAACTTGCAACAGGCTGATATCCTTTAAAGTTCCCTGTTAAAAAGAAAGAAGGCCATTTTAGTTAGTTCCATAAAAATTACCTAAAGGTGTAAAGCATAGAAGACCATGTTTACAGAGTCATCAAGGTCCCCACACTTGTAATCGGCTGCGTCTGAACGATTTTAGTTTAATAGTGGAAGAACCGTTATTCGATGATCGAGAGGAAAATAATAAACATTTTCAATTGTATTTTGTTTTGGTAGAAAATATATCACTGTTTTACACAAAAAAAGAGTCTCAACGTCATCAACTTGGTCTTTTACTGAGCTCAGTAAAAAAGAAAAAAACAAGTTGATGGCGTTGTGACTCTTTTTCATATCTGTACAGTCAAGTTCGACTTAATAATGTTCTCGGAGATTTGGTGTGAATCTGACGCGGCTATGGTAATTTTACCCGGCTATAAAAAGTTTTCTCTTAATAGTAGTGCATGAATAGTTGAAAAGCTTCATATGTTACGGAAGTTACGGAAGAATATACAATTTTGACTGAAGTATGAAAATAAGTTATGTCCTGTTGTTTATCGTCCGCCTTCAACGAATTTTTACAAATGTTATTCTTAGTTTAACACTTATTTGAAATTTACGTCTGCGAATGCTGTATCAGTTATTTTAGGAGGTGATTTTAATGTAAACACGCAGGAAAATTCAAACCTGTCACAATAACTTATTGAATCCTACGCGTTTTTAAATGCATTCATGTCGTGCACTGGAACCATTGAATATTTGGAAGCTACACTTGACTTTTTTATTACAAACGAAATCACACTAGTACATAGCGCGGGCACTATTTTTATCAACATTAGCGATCATACTTCATGTTTTGTTTTTCGTGATTTCAGTATAGAAACTAAAGTATATATATATATTTTTTCTCCTCAGTACATATCTGATTAAACCTTACTGCAGTTTATAAAGCAGTTGGTAGGCATAGATCGGACGCCAATTACCTTACAAACATTGATGACAACTACCAAATGTTTCTTAACACTTAAAAAATGTCTATAACAGGTTGTTTTGTTATAAAACAACCGCTGCATCAAATAAAATTCGAAAGCTTTGAATTACGCCTTTCAATATCAAAAAGATGAAACACAAAAAGCGTTTTTACAAAACTTCATTACGACAAGAGACTCAGTGAAGTGATTGTACTAAAGAAATATCGCAGCGTTTTGAGATTCGAACTTAAGAAGGCTAAATATGGCTACCGCAAAACTTAACGACTGGGCACAAAAAAAGGTCCATACGTCGTCGGGAAATCAATTAAATATATTTTTCAGCGTAGTAGTCGACAAAGTTTTATAGAACTCCATGTCAATTCAAAATTGATGTATGGTCAACACTAGATGAGTGCTTTCATTTTTTTTTCGTCAACCTGGCTTTGAGCTCAAATTGAGAGGCTCTATTAAATGTCCTATTCCAGGCAATTCGCGAAATTTTGCTTCTTAATTTGACAAACGAGTATGAAGTGTTTCGTGTACATATGATCCTAAAATACAGCACAACTTGTGATATTGACGACCTTCAAAGAAAACTCATCAAATTTATCCTTGATATAATAACGCCATGCCTTGTACATATTTTTAATTCGTGTTTTTCATGCGGAAAGTTCTCACAAAAAAAAGAAGCTTGCAAAAGTGTATGTGATTTATAAGGGGGGCGATAGAAATGCTATGTCTAATTATATATTATTTTCATTTTCTTGTTTTTTCTAAGGGACTTGAAAATAATATTCTTTGTTGTCTTTTTTTTCTGCAATCACTGGAATCTTAGAATTCCAAAATCTGTTTTAGACGAGGCATATCAACCGAATCTTTGTTTTATGGCAAAAATAAATAAGATTACAGAGTACGGATAGCAAACTTTTAGACACATCATCTTCATCGATTTTAGAAGAACTTTTGATAGCCTAAATGACAAAATACTTCTTGAGAAACTAAGCAGGTATGGTACGCGTAGTTCATCACTTTCATTTTTGTCTTATAACTTCCATGAACGCAAGGAATCTGTAATCATCGACGGAAATTTTCATCGCTCTTAGACATAAATTAAGGTGTGCCACAAGGTAGCCATTTTCGGTCTGTTGCTCTATAATATTTATATTAATAACCTTCTGAACATCTCTAAAATTTTCATTTTTGTCCCGTCTGCCGATGACACCGGTCTGCTTCTCAGTGACGCGTATGCGGATGACCTAGTAAATCAAAGAAATTTTTATATTGTCTAGATCCTTTTCGTGGTCGCAAACAAATGGTTTATGTATTAATGCAACAAAAACAAAGGCGATTTTATTCAAATCATTCTATAAATATATAAATATAAATTCAACTCTCCGTTCGCAATCAGTTCCGATTGAATTACTAAAATAATATAAAATATGAGGTATTACATTTTAAGAAAATCTAATGTGGGATCGACATATAAAAAGATCGCCAGCAACTTATGTAAAATTGTTGGTGTGCTTGCGCAATGTCGATCGATTCTCGCCAAAAAAAAAAACAAGAAAACTAGAGAGATAGCATGCGTTATATAAATCCCAAATATCTTATTGCCGTCTCGTTTGGAGTACGACCACAAAGGCAAATCTTAACAAAATACTATTACTTCAAAACTATTTCGCGTTTTAGTGGAAACGCTTATATAAGAAATATAAATCATAAATATGATTTATATTTCTCTCAGTATTATTCTCAGGATATTATGCGTACCTTTTGACTGGGTCACATTGATTCTCCTCCTCTAGGTTCATTACTTTTCTTGTAGAAACATTAGGATTCATTAAAAATATACCCACCTTCCGCATCCGCCGAGGAACGGAAAGGGTTTTATTTTTGCACAATATACAGTTTCCAGTCTTTAAAATATAATCTACTCTCATTCCTTAATAAATATTGCAGAAATAAAGTGGACATTTACTCAATAAATCCCAAATTTTGTATCCAATTTTTTTAATAGCATTTGATGTAAACCTGCGAAACCTTTATCTCTTTTATGTATATATTTGTTTTGTTGCTGAAATCTCCGCAGTTCTCTGTATAACTGTGGCTGTCTGCAAAGTGCACGGGGCACGCACCCCGTCGAGTCAATGTTCGTTGAATTTCTGTCCGTCCCCCCTGTCGTCTGTAACCTACTTATTTGAAAAAATAAATATTATATTATGTAATACCAATTGGTCAAAATTTCAATCTTTTCTTTTAATGACACAACGCAGCGTCCGTCATATTTTGTCGCAGCAGTCTTTTCTTACTTATTGTATGTTCGCTTGAAGTTCATAAGTGACTAATACTTCGACGCCGACTATCAGTCGCACAAGGTGAGACCTCTAAACAAGCCCTCTGCTTCGTATCCCAGCGTGTACTATAAGAGACAAAAAAGTTTCACGCGACTTTGTTTTTCTGGCACGGTCTTTTAGTTTCTATGCTTCCCTGGGATGCGTGAGGACGAAAAAAACAAGCATCAAAATGCGCATGCGCCTTCGCTTTAGCAAATCCCATTCGTCTACTTTACTGCAAAGCATTTTGGAAGGCCAGTCGCAAACTTTTGTAACGAGAGAGCTCGGCGAATGGCGAAACTGAAAGTGTTTCTAAATGAAGAGCAGTCTGCGCCGAGGCACGAAATTTCGTATCTTGCGTACTCACGTCACGCGCAGTGTCAATGGAGTCTTCGCTGCCACATTGAGCATGACGTTCCACGCACTTACCTAATGATCAGTGTCACAGCGCAGGTTGTTTTTCGGGTCTAAACATACTTTCGGACTCGTGATTGATCGATGGCAGTGACTTCGTCAATTGCAGGGATTAGTCATCAAAAGCGCGTTAAAGGGGCGGTGCAACGATTTTCGGACTTCGGTCAAAGATTTCTGGAAGTTGCCCCCTGACACTTCTGAAGTAAAGAACAGAAAACCGATTTCGCCCGCGTGTCCTAGTTTTTGCGTAAAAAAGAGATAAAAAGATTGGTATTTCGGGCACCCCTCTACTCACTCCCAGCCTTCAGGGTCACACCTGGTCGCACTCCCAGTGACGTCATTCGGAGTGCTGTGTAGCTTCCCGTGTGCTATCTCGGAGGACGCTTCCCCTCCCTCTCTCTGCGTACATTAGCGGGCGCTATGCTGCAGCTTAGAGCCGAGCGAGGTCACGTAATCTTTCCGCCGTAGTTCCTTCGGCTGCCACTTGGGGCTGCAGGTGGGGGAAAAAGCTCGACTTTTGCTTTGCGATTATGCAGCGGAATCGCGACATTTTTAATGAAGGAAGTGTTTTCTCTATCCTCTGGGACACGATAAACAACGTAAAAATGACGAGATGCAAATTCTTTTAATCATGAAATCGTTGCACCGCCCCTTTAAAGGAAAGTAGACGCACCAGATTGTTTAGCATAAATAATTCGCAAATACCGAGCGCCTTATTATCGTTACAAAGAGAATAAAATTGCGGCATAGCCGATAATTGATTTAATTTGTTTAATGGCATCAGGTACTAAGCGCACAATAATGGAGGTGCGCGGAAAACAACTGTCCGAAGAACAGCTTTGACTAAGCTGCGGTCCTTTCGTTGAGGTAAAGATACCAATAATAAAGCAAGAACTGTGGTAACAAAAAAAAAAGAACACGCCATGAGCTTTTTCAGCAGTGACTATGCCGTCGTGAAAATCAAACGGGGACACACTTATTCCGATTGATCGTTGCGTAATTTAAACGTGTTTTAGTATTATTTATTTTTTTCCAAATACCATCATATGCTCAATTGAACATCGCACTATTATTTGTTACACTGGAACGTTTCTGTGGCCCTGTCACCGCATCAGGGGTCCCTACCGTTTCTTTGAAACTCGTTTCGTGAAATTACGTTCCGTGGAGAACTTTTCATAGACACACGTTTCGTCGACACGAATGATTCATCGAGACTCGTTACGCGAACTGCACGCTAGATGGACATTTCGTCACGCGTGTATCACTGGGGTGCGCATAAACCATCCCCTCCCCCGCCCTTCCCTCGGTTGCGTTCACGCCGGTGCGGCGACAGCCTGCAGGGTCTGCTCATTACAAAGATCTCAAGCCTAAAGTCCCTTTATAAAAGCTTCCGACAAGTAGCGACATTCTTTGAAGCGCCGACTACGTGACGATGCGGGTTTTAGGAAGCGAATGGCGGCGCACAGCAGAGGTTTGAACTGAACGCCGCCGTTTTGTTCCACCAGAATGTGCTTTGTCATATGTCTTGGTTGTCGTCACTTGTAAAAAAAGTATCAAGGGAATTTAGTTAAGCCACCTGACTAACCGTAACACGCCGTTTCGCGGCGACAGTTTGATGCAGCTCATCACAGAAAATATCTAATCTGAGCTGTCGATGAAACGTCGTTCAATGAGCTGATTGCCACCACCGCAGCAGTTGTCTTTTGAAATTGCGGGGTCTGGTTCTACCAGTATACTGTGAGTAAATATATACGCTATGCGATTTGTGGAGTGTACTTTTTTCTACGTTTTATGTCATTCTTAGCGCGATATTGGCTGAAGCACAAGGAGGAAGATATAGCACGACCACGAAAGATAGATTTGCTACAAAGTCTAATTTTCGAGCGAAATTGAGTCAAATATCTACGTTGTTTACACGCGGCCTCCCGATGAACTCTGATCTCTCTAGTCATGGACAGCTTAAGGAGCGTGGCTTATTATGGACGCGCTCCTTGCTTTGTGTTTCGGACGATCTTATTGTCTAATCCTTACGATCTCTTTGGCACGGGAGCTGCAACTTGGGACTGGCCCTGTTCCTTTAGCTTTCAGCGAATCGCCAGTATGTCCACTTGGAAAAACTATTTCTGGTGTAGGCGTTTAATATAACCCTTAAACATAAATAACGTAGGGTGCGCTGCTGTAATAATAAATTCTTTCCTTTTTTTTTTCACACAGAGCGCCCTGGACGAATGCACCGACGCTTGGGGCATAAAGGTGGAGCGGGTGGAAATGTAAGTATTTCATGTTTCTGAATCACGAAATAATGAAATAACGAAAAAGAGAAAGATACCTCTGAATGTCCCTCTAAGTCCCGTCTACATCCCCATTGTGTGGTGATGTTTACCGCACGCTACTTGTTCATTTATTTTATCTTTATTTTTTGTCATGTCCCAGCTGTCATTCTTTTCTTTTCATGACTATTTAAAACATAACCGCTGCCAGATTGCCACGCATGTCTCTGAGAAAGCACGTCCGTGTTCTAATGGTTGTCGTGCTTGGCTCCCACGCAAACGGGCCCAGGTAAAATTCTCGGGAACGAAAATACTTTTTTTTTTTTTAATTTCTGTAAATGTCGCTTTGTGTTAAATTCACAACTCTGTTGCTTGTTCGAGTTCCGAATGTTCTACGTCATGAATCCTACGCCGGTTGTCCCAGAAGCGCAGTCGTGTAAAAAAAAGGCTCCGCGTGGCGAGCCGGAGTCGGTTTCGCCTCAGCCGCCATCGACGCCTGCGACGTCTAACATTCTGCCATTTTGTTTTCGGCGCAAGTTCGCCCCACTAAACATTCAGTTTCCTTCGATCATTTGTCGCCTCGTCCATTGTCATTCGTGACATACATATTGCCGCACAGGGATGGGCAAAATCCATGAAAATATGTGTCAAAATACAAATACAAAATACTTCGTCAAAGATGTATTTAATTACAAATCTAATTACATTTCCAAAAAAGCATTTAAGTACAAGATACAAATACAACCAAATGTATTTCGTCTCCTCGAAATACTTTCCCAAATACATTCCTCAAAATTCGCGTCAGCGACATCAGGGCACCTGCAAAAGGTTTCTGGGTATCTCATTTTAGTTTCGCATCGCACACTCGGGAGTTAGTGTGCGAGGCTCTAGTAACGTAGTAGAAATATAATCACGAAAAAATGTAACCAGCTTAGACGTAATAGGTGAAACAAGTACAGAGCTGCAAGCAGCTTTTTTTGTCGATTACATTTTGGTATAGACCAACGAAGAACCGAGGCGACCAAGACGCGCAGCACTAGCTAGAAATTTTTTTATTGTTGCAACTCGCACCAGTTACGAAAATCTGGACGACCCGCGCATTTAGAATGTTCCAGGCAAAAATATGGATGGAAATCAGACTGGAAAGCATCACACGTTGCAACAGGCAGTTATTTAGCCATTCTGCCTGTGAACGTCGATCTCGTCCCTATTCTTGCCCTGGACTAGCACCGTAATCACAAAGTCACTAAACGCTTGTGCTTGATTGAGAGTCACTGCATACGGTGCAGAACGTAGTTTTCTTGCTGCTCTGGACAGTGACAATAAATTTGAGGGACGTATTTTCGCCCACAAAATTGTACTTAATTACAATTGTATTTAAAATACCCACGTTTTAGTATTTAAATACACACGTAAAATAATTACCCCATTTGTAATAAAATACAAATGCAAAATACACAAAGTATTTAAAATACGTATTTCAACTACTTGTATTTGAAATACTGCCCATCCCTGTCGCCGCATTACATAAAGAACGCGATGATTCAATCGATGCGTTTATGGAACACGCGAACTTAACGGCGATGCTGAAGAGGCGTTGAAATGGCCTCGAAGGGACAATAAGAAACGTTTTCGCATGGCTATGTGGTAATGGGTGCAGAGCCTTTTAGAGAGAAAACGTCTTTCAAATACTGTCAATTGGTCTGCGTTCTCAGCGTCCACCGTGAGTAATTACTAACGTTTTTTGCGTGCCTGCAGAATGCAAATGAATATCGATTGCATACAATATCTAGGTCGGACCATGCAGCGTAATTTTCCTTTTTATTTGGCAGATGCGCATGTACAAAGAGATGTATCCTTTGAAACTCGGTGATTCGTTGACGCTTGGGAAGTAAAACACAGCTGTAGTACAGGTGCTTTCAAACTGTCATAGAGCCAACGGCAGATTATGATTTTGGGTTTTCAGGGCAAATAAAATAAAACCTCGGGGGACGCTGAGTGGAACGCGAGAGTGGAACGCGAGAGCGTTATCGGATTATCGTTCGCAAACCCTTCTCCTATAAACCCGCACTCGTTCCCAAGACATGCAAGCGTGTGTGCGTGCTCTAGTCGGTAGCGTCACGTGTCACGTGCCGTCACATGACGTCACGTGTGACGTTATGTCACGTGACGCGTGACGTCACACTAGACTTTGACGCAATGACCCTATCGATTCGCTGAATATACCGAAACATATTTCGCTAATATGGCGGGACATTTTTCCGCTATATTAAGGTACGTTTACACTTGCGGATCCGCTAGCGAATCCGCCCAGCTTTCGCCGCTGGGGCGAAACGCTGGGTGGAAAACGCGGCGGCGAGCCGAATCGGTCCAGGACTTATTTCTGCCGCCGAACGAGGCGTTTCGCTGACCGGAAGTAACATTCTTGCGCAGCGCTACGCTGCCTTCGTCACGACTTCCGGGAGAAGCAGCGCCCGGGAGAGACAGCCAAGGTGGGAACTCTCGCGCCTTCTCGTCATATTTGACGGGATGTTAGGAGAACAGCTGCCGCAGCCGGCGCCACCGCCGCCGCTCGAAGGAAATAGATGTAAACGCAACCCGCTCGTCGCCGCCACCGCCGGGAGCGGATCCGCTTCCGCGGCAGCAGATTTCTTCCAGGTGTAAACGTACCATTAGGAGGGAAATTATTCTGTTATATTTGGCGGGAAAGTTTTCCCCTACATTTGGCCGGAAATGTTTCCGCTTAATTTGGCGGGTCGACAGGGTCGTAACGTTACAGCAACGTGTCACATTACACGCGACGTCAAACGTCACTTAGCGCGTTGCATAATGGGATTTTATTGTCCCACCGATGTCGACGCCGGATTTTCTGCGAGAACAGCTCCTAAACGATACCGCCTTAAAATAGCTACGCTTGTCCGCTCCTGGGTTAGCTCCGCAGACCTAAAGGCAGTTTACAATAAATAAGTTAGGTGTACCAGCTACAATATATACATATATTTATATATATATAGATATGTGTGTGTGTGTCTAAGGGTCCTTCATTTTAATGTCAATTAGAAGAAGAAAAACAAATGGATATAGTGAAACTTCCGGCAGGGAACAGGTCTTGTCATTGCTTGTTATTAACTGAAGCAAGGTGGCCTCCCTCCTTGTCTGATTTCTTTTTCGGATTGGTTTGAACTCGTTTTTGTACTTGGTTATTCTGATTTTTGCTTGCTTGCATTTGGGTTTGGAGGGAGGGGGGGGGGGGGTCGAGGGGCTGTTTTGGTCTGAAAAGCCCTTCAAAGGTTTAGTTCGCACCCCTCTCCCACTTGAAGCCGTAATTATTTGATTCATTTGGTACAATCGCGATTGGCCGGAGTTACAGTGGCATCGCCAACTATTAAGGCGAAAGCCTTATATGTCTCACCGTTCAGTCGACCTTCAAAGTCCTTGAGCGAAAACACGTGGATGACACGAAGAGTACAAAACACGCCGGCGAGACGAAGAGTACGAAAACACGTTGGTGACACAAAAGGTACCAAAACCCACGGTTCGCCACTGGACCACGAGATGGCGTTATTTGTGCCAGAACCGGTGGAGGCGAGCGCGCGGCGCAAATCCAGCGGTAAAGGAGGACACTCGCCCGGGCAGCGGTGAAGAGCGGGCGTGCGACATAAGATTAACGGCGCCCAAAGTACGCCGTCCGAGGGAGCGCAGTCTGCGGAGCTTCGCTATCACCGGGATCGGCGCTTGGGTCTTCGCCTTTAAGTCGTCTTAGGAATAAGATAAGAGGCCCTGTGAATTTTTATTCAGCCGCTAATAAATATTTTGCTTTACCCAGCTTTCCAACCTCAGTTCAATCAAGTGACTTCCGCCGACTGAAGTCAAGATGACTTGCGTCCGCGGCATCACCGACGAGGTTCAGCTTTAGAGAAGAACTTATTGTTCCGGAGCGCAAAAAAAAAAAGGCATTCAGGAAAAAAACGTAGCTGTCAATCTTGCAAGCTAAGGCATATAGAAGGGTCGGTACTGCCCTTATAACGACCCTGGCACATCGTGCAAGTCGACGTCCTTAAATCAACTAAGTTGTGTAACCGCGCTCCGGAGGACGGTCAGCTTGCGTGGCGCCCACAAGAAAGCATACGCTCCACATTAGGGTGCACTATTTTCATAATTGACAACGCACAGAAGTTAATAGCATTTTATTTTTCTTTAGGTTGTTGACGGCTTTTGTTTGTCGGCTGCTGGTGATGAATATGTATACCTTCTGCAGTTGTTTAGCAATAAAACGCATATTACTAATTCTTGTACATTTCACGTCGTATGTTTAGCTACATTTAAATGGTCGTAAGCTACTGTTGCCAATTGCTATTCGTAACACTTCTTCGAGACAGAACGCCGAGAAGTTAGCGCCAGGACACTCGAGTTGACGAATCGTTCTCAAGTTGTCTTGTGAACCCAAGCGGCTACCTGCGATCAGAGGCTATTAAACAGCCGTCGCACAAGGCCCATCATTGAATATATTATATCATAGGCTTGTACCCCACACACAGACATAAACGTGCATGTAAAACGCGGAACGCGAAAAGGGTTCATTTGTTCACCGCTGCCATTTCAGCGGAATGTTCGGCAATCACCTCCGGAGCCTGTATGCAAAAATGCTTCCAAACCGCGACCCCCAAATATCGGAGGCATCAAACGGCTTTTACATTTATGCATTTTTATATATATTTTGTACTAGCCCTTTCACTAGATTGCTGCGTTATAAGTTGTCAGAACAACAGTAAGAATGCGAAGGTCCATCGCAATATGTTCTTGCAATTCGAGGGGAGTTTTTACGGACAAATGTGTATGGGGGTATACTTACCTTTCTGTGGCACCTGTGCTCACAAGCGAAAGTATCTACATCCCTACCTGCCTTTAGCCGCACAGAGTTCCGATGAAGCTTCAGTCCTCTTTATTTAAACTATGTGCCCTCCACACCCGAAGAAAGAAAGAAATAGGCGAATCGCGCG